GCGGAGCCGTAACAAAACTAAGCCCAAAGCGCCGGCGATGGCTGCAGCATGAGTGATTGGCTACTCATTAATATGGTTTGAAGGCCTTTCCCGAACCAAAAGTCACAGCGTCAGCAAGCTCCTATGCTTTTTCTGAGTATGGTAAACGCTCGCAGAACTGTAGAAGACACGAGAAGATTTATGTTTGCCCAGGGCGGTGGAAAGCCTATCATCCTCATGTTCTCTTGATTATGACAAGTTGCAGGCAGCGCAGAATACGGTGCTAGCAGACAAGAAGATATTAAAGCGAGGTTGCTGATGCTTTCTCCGCAAGGTTAGCAAATACTCCAGGCCTACCTCTTTCACCACGAAGTTCACCGGAGATCACCGGAGGCTGTTGACCGCCAGCAAGCCCTGTAAAACGATAAGGAGGATCAAATGCTAATGCCAAGAAGGAATGAGGTAATTGATGCGGCCTTTTCGCACCGCCAGCGCGCAGCTGATCGCAAACGGCGGGCATCAGATGACAGCCTTTCGTGTTTCGCTGGTGCATTCATGGCCGGATGCACGAGCAACCAGCATAAACATGCTTACACCGGAGGGCATGGGATTCCAGGGATTCCACGGGAAAAAAGGTGGGCATGATCCAACCCCAAATTGAGGGGCCCTGCTTTCCCTTCCGAGGCGACTATGCCAAGAGCAGCTGGTACAAGAAGAATGCAGCAGAGGAAGTCTTCGAGCAGCAAGCATCCGCTGCAGGCCACATCTACGAGTGCCACAAACAAATGCCTGCTTTCGCTTGAATCTGGCTGTTTGCTGCTTGCACGCCGATTGGCAGGTGGGCAGCAGATGGAGATGCTACAGTACGCTGCAACTCTCAGTCGACAGGTGAGCAAGCAAAGCAAGCGAAGCGCATGTGCGACGCGGGACCCGACCCTGCTCGAACAATGGAATGGTCCTTTTTTTGTTTTGTTACGTTTAGGTTTCAGGCTCTTTGGGATGGTAACCTATAGTCATTATGAGCAGAGGTTGTCTCAAGCCGAGGACAGATGTCGAGCATTCGCATGTTCCTGAAGAGCTCACTCATGCATCGTTGTGAACTGCTGACACTGCTGCTTGCGCATGAAAACTTTTGTAAGTTTGCCTGTCTTCTTGCATCTGCGATTCGAGCTCCCTCCAGAACGCTGGCAGACTCTTTGTGACCTACGCCGCACAGGCGTTCTAAGAACAGATCACATCACAGGATGGAGCAGGGCGATTGGTCAAAATGTGCTTTGAATGCGTTCGATATGTGAGAATTTTGAACAATCGCCCCAGATGTGTGCCTGGCTCTGGGGCTCCGATCTTGGGACCCGGAGCACCTGCAGCCCTAGGACTCAATCCAAAACACCCTCCTGTCATGTATGCAATTTTGTCACTTGCCGAGTGGTAGGTTTTGTGGAAAACAAATATTCTGCCACCACAAGCAGGCAAGTAGTAGTGTAGAGCTTTTGTCGCAGATAGGCTGGCTCCGAGATGGAATCCAGCTAGTTTGCTTCCTTCATTGCAGCATGCTCTTCCATGCTCAACGCGCATGTCTTGAAGAGAAGCTGTGAGCAGTGCCACCAAGCGCGAGCCACTGAGGTGAATTTGAAGGTTTAGTAGATGGTGCTGTCGCCATGTAGAACATGCTGACGGTCCACTCCGAAAAGCCTCGCTCGGAGATCCTACAAAATCGTTCCTCTTGACACGTGCTGTCCGTCGTTACAACTTTTGACAGATCGGGGGGAAAGGAGTTTGACTGATGCTCAGACTTGCAAATCAGGCACAGAGCTCGGCATATGCCGCCCTTGTGTCGGCAGAAGACGGTCAGCAGTGGGAGGCTCAGATCCTGGGTGCTTTACCACCAAGCCAACGTGTTGAGCCGAGGCAGCAGACTACCAAGCCGCAGGACTTGTGGCAGTTCCAGCTCGGGCTAAGAAAGCTCACGATTCTCAGATTGGGATGGGTCCGTTCCTGCAGGATCTGCCGCAAGACGCTGAGACCATTCAAGGCCAGCCTTGTTGGTCGAGGTTTTGCCATAATTAAACATGATGCAAGAAGTTGGTGCCTGCGAGGCCCCACATTCAACGGTCTCTCGCAGGACCGCTGCACCTCTCGACATTTTTGCTTGTTGCCGCTTGTTACTTCGTGGTCTTCCTGTTGTCTTGCTTTGCAAACGTGAAATCAGGAGCTGGAGGAAAAGTATCAGACAACTGTAAGGCCTCATCCTTATGGGCTGAGGGATCTTTGACAGGCTGTGGCGAAATGTGCCCACTGCTTGAGGCGACTGAAGCAGCAGCTGCAGCAGGAGCAAAAGCAAGCGGCAAAGGCCGAATTCCTTTCATCTGTTGACCTTTCAAAGCCGGCGGACCGCATCATATGCTGCGGCCTTTCTTGCCATCAGCTTGTTAGCCTGTGCCCAGATGCGAGCAATCGCAGACCGTCAGTTCACCGAGCCGTCCGAACTTGAGGCGGTTTGCACGAATGCTGCTTCCCACCAGCCAGATTAGCCCTTGAAGAGCAGCTACTCGGAAAGAAGGCCTTCTTCCTCGAGTGCGTGGATCAGGCGTGAACAACTGGCCTGTCTCCTGTCATTGTGATTGCAAATCCTGTAGTTTACCAGCTTTCTTTGTCCTCTAGTGCATTACTTGCATGACGAAGACACTCTAATAGCCATTGAGAGTGTGACTGCAGAGGTGAAAACAGAGATCACCGAGCGCCGAAAAGCGGCGCTCGAGCAGAACAAGGCTTTGCGTGCTGGCGGGGAGGCCACCCCGATATGAGTTGGCAGAACCCTTGCCCGTTTTGGGTAGCAATACCACCAGTCAACCCATCAGACGAATATTCCTATACTCCCCCCTAAACCCCACCCAATAAATCACCACTTCTTCCCCAATACCAATACCAGTATAGGAATAGCCGATTACCTCATCCATATAAGAGGATCATGCCTATGCTCCCCCCTACACCCCACCCAATGTATCACCACTACTTCCCCATTACCAGTACAAGTATAGGAATAACATGGAATAACCGATTACCCATCCACATAAAAGGACTATACCTATACTCCCCCCTACACCCCACCCAATACATCACCACTACTTCCCCGTTACCAATACAAGTATAGGAATAACCGGTTACCCCATCCATATTCCGAAAGGTGGTATTATCAGTATTATCATCCCAAAATTTGCATGTACTGCCCCGTGATTGTGTCCCATGCATTGAATTCATAAGCAAACCATAAGAGTGTGGAAATGCTTAATTAGTTTGAAACAGTGTTTATTATAGTTAGAGACTTATGATAAGTACTGTAAAGAGACAAAATATGACAATATATGTTGATAACAGTACCATGGATTTTAATACTGAGTATCATCCTATTCATTGTGAAATGCAGTGTATTAGATGTAAGAAGATGAAGAATTTAGTGTATTCCACGAGGCATTATCATAGTAGAACAGGTAGGTATATAATGCAGTATAGAACGACGGTTACTTGTTGTGAATGTCTAAAAGAGTATGAAAAATACAACGACAAACGGAAAAGAGTATAATGCAAACACATGTCATAAGAGTCTATGGAATATATTCCTATTATGATTACAACCTTTATACCCAAGCCTAGTAAAATCTGTGAGAGAACCTTTGCCCATTTCGGGATGATAATAGCATCATGGGCAATATGGATGGGGTAATTGGTTGTTCCTATATGTGTACTGGTAATGGGGAAGTAGTGGTGATACATTGGGTGGGGTGTAGGGGGAGTGTAGGAATATTCCTCTTATATGGATGAGGTAATCGGTTATTCCTATACTGGTATTGGTATTGGGGAAGAAGTGGTGATTTATTGGGTGGGGTTTAGGGGGGAGTATAGGAATATTCGTCTGATGGGTTGACTGGTGGTATTACTACCCAAAACGGGCAAGGGTTCTGCTCACTATATGAACCCATCCAATGGCTGCAGTGTGTCAGCCAATGTCAGCTATACAGCTTCATGACTGCGAACTTGAAAGGGCAAAGCTCGCGGGTATCCAGAAGCTCTCCCACCGCATCTCGCAAAGCTGGCCGGCTGCCTGGGCTCTCGAAAAACTAAGTGGAACTGTGATGCGTAGCTTCGGAAGCTCGCAGAGAAGCAGAGAAAGCAGAACCGACAGGCACAGACGCCGACGCTGGATGACTTTACTGTCACCGACAGACGCAAGGTGCAAGTGGTGCCGGGAAAGTCTGCTTTCCCAGCTACCTGGCCCTGCCACAGGTAGTAGAGCTGCTGCTCAGCAGTGAGCATGTTCTGCAGCAAGCCCGGCCCGTTTACATCGTTTATCATCCAACTGCATCCGTGCTCGGATGCATGCATCCACCCCATGCGCCCGCGCAACGCTCGCGCTGCCGCTCACCCGCCCCCAGCTCGCCCGCCGCCCGCGCTACCCGCCTGCCCGCCTCCTCCCTTTCCCTTCCGTTCCCTCAAGTGCGGATGTTCCGCACTGTCCAGGTTCCTTTATGACAAGCTCTTTCCACCAGCGCACATCTCAGCAAGTTTGCTTGCGTAACTATTGCATGATATCGGACATGTTGGCCTTAATCAGGAGTCTTCAGCTCAGTGAGAGATGGTGGGTGACTGGTTGGAACAGGATTACATGCGCTGACAGAATCGTTTTGCTTTCTCCGTTCATGTGTATTTGGAAGTTGAAGCTAACATCGTACCCCTCATTGATGTGTATACAGATGCTATCCAGTTTCCGTCAAGGGCCAGAGGTGCATGGCTTCTGAATTCATCCGTGCAGTTATGGTCGCGATCGTCCGTTTCACGCTGGAAGGCTCTGCACAACATGAAACTGTGTTTTGCATCGCCCACATCCAAGCAGATGAAAGTTGTGATGGTAAAATATTTGCCAATGAGGTGGGGCAAGATGTTGAGGCGCTCTTGTTATATGTTCAGCTCGTACGTGCGATGTGCGAGACTAAGCTTGGGTCTCCTTTCTGCAGGAAAGGGAACTCATGCACGCGCGGAGTTGCAAAAAGTGTGAGGACCAAGAGCTAAGTATTCAAAGCATCAAATTTGTTGGTGGGGCGCAATGCAACTTGTCCGGCAGACAACCTCCGAGTTGCTGCAATTCACCAAATGCTAGGTGGCTATGTAAGGAGCATCTTTTACTTGCCTTCAGACTTGAAGTATCATACGAGTTGGGCTTTGAACCGTATACGGGGATAGGTCTTGGGACAGGGAAGCCGTTGCTGCTGCTGCTGCTACTTGCTGCTGCGACGACGGACTGGTGTCGGGACAGGACGCTATGGTTGTGTCATGTTGTGTCGTCTTGTTTTTGACACTAGAGTTGTCTCTTTTGCAGACTTGGTCGACTATGTTTCCGAAATTTCTGGAATTGCACTGGCATTGGGTGCGGTTGGAAAGATTGAGCTTGTTGCTGCCTCGGTTTATGCTACCGACCTCGATTCAGCAAAGCTAGCCTGCCACATCAAAGCAGTCAGGCAGACGCGGCATCATACTTCAGCAGCATTGTGCGCTCATTCAGCATCTAGCGGCATCTCGCTGCTTCATCAATTACTTTTTGTCAACACGAATCCGAGGACTGGGCTTGCTAGAACTAGGCTCGGTGCACTGTTTCGTCGCCCTGCCTCGAATGTTTGCACAATGGTGTCGGCGGGGGCCCTGACGGCCTTTCTTCGAGCGAACCGTCAGAGAAGCTGACAGGGACAAGGGAATGGAGGCTGTCAGGTTTGTTTTTGTCAAGCCGAGCCGCCAGATCGAGGTTCTTGCTGCTGCCCACGGTCGTTCAGAGCTCTGTTACTGGCTGCTTGGTCCACCAGTAACCATGCATGCGAAAGTGTGGACTCCCAAGAACATGGCCTAAGATCTCGAAATCTGTTTGTGCTCCGGTGCGCGCATCCAAGTCCTGACGGGCGATGGTGGGTTCTGCGAAGACGGGAGATGCCCCTCTGCTGCAGCTGCTACATGCCCTCCAAGACACATCTGCATGCGAGCCGGAGTGGACAGGCATCAACTGCAACTTCTGCGACGGGGACTGCCCGGGCCGCAGGATGTGGGAAAGATCCACGAAAGGTCCTGAGACTACGACCAAGGCTTTGATGCTTGCAGCTGCAACTCAGAGCTGAACACCTGCTGTTGCCTCGCTCCACCGGGGTTTCGACCTCAAGCCCTGCTCTACAGAGTACTGATGCAAGAAACTACCGAGACCTGGAGGCACTTCTCACGTGGCTACGAGAAGATCTCGTGCAACTTGGCGACGGGAAGAAGATGTCAGCCACATCGAATCGAGCGTGTTGCGATATGGAGCGAGTCTAGTGACATGCCTTAGGGTACAGCTCGGAGGCGATCTTAAGAGCAAAGAGTATGGCTGGAGATATTATAGGTCCTGGCGGCACCTACCAAGACCTAGCTGGACAGCGTAGCTGCAAGCCGTGCGAGCCTTGATCATTCTTTTTACGTTGCCCTGCAAACGACGGATGTGGGCTCCGTCGCTCGTCTTTGAAAGAGGTGTAGCACCGATGCTTCAGTCCTGTTCAACGTGGACATGAGAGGTCGGGTTCATGCTTGCGTCTTGGTTTGGATTGTTAGTTGTAGAATTGTAGACCGTGCGTGTTGCTGTGACAGGTGCCGTCGACTTGGTGGACTGCGAGGAGGAAGTGAGCTTGGAACAACTCCCACCTTCCATGCACTCACCACTTGTGTTGCTGCTCGACTTTGGGCATTGCAAGAGGCGAAGTGCTCCAACGAGAACGTTTGTGGTGCCAACTTGACTGACTGCTCGGTGCGCCCCCCGTTGTTTCATGCGTGCAGCTCTCCACGAGATGGACCCGAGGCCACATGCGTATCGTCGATTTTCGCACGGAGCCTCCGAGTCCTGTGTGTAATCTTTCTGCCCTCAACCATGTCTGAGGTCGAGACAGCGATGTATGCTCATCCGACGAACACCACTTTCTGTGCAACAACCTCGGTTGACCCGCCCTTCACCCTTCATCACCTTTCAGCCTTCCATATTCCTTGTTGTTCTCAGTCCGGGTTGGAGCAGCCCATCGCAGAGCGAGGCGCGTGCAGTAAAGTTGTACTTGAAGCCGTGACACTGCGCCCCACTTCGCGAATGCTGCCCCACCAGCTAAACATTATTCCTTATGGTCACTGGTAGACATGCAAGCAGCTGGGAGTGTGGCATTGTTCTGCAGCTGGAGCTGCATGCACCGGCATAGCTTCCATGCTGGCAGGCTGCTCTTGGCAAAGCACAACAAGCGCAGCACCAGTCTTGCGCGGGAGTGTACAGGCGCAGACAGTGAACCTTGCAGTCCTGCATCCTGGTACATTGCGCAGATGTTGTGGCAGGTGCTCCTTTCTCTCATCATGCTGTGCACGATGAAAGAGCTTTAGCCATGCGAAACTGCACGGTGAATTTGTGCACGTCTCATGTCCTTGGAGGCCTGACTGCACCGCAGCATGCTGTGCGGCACAGTAGGCTCCAGCTCATCGTAGATTCTCAAATCAAATCAGTATGTACTTCCTCTTTCCTGGGCCTCCGTGCGGCTGTGGTTGATCCGGTAGTGAGATGACGTCGATGCGCGCATCTCTTTGTCTTACGTGCTCAGGTCAACTTGTGTTCTTCGCTGATTTAGTACCCACATCCTCCACTGCACTTGCAACTCGAGACTTTCTCATCCCAGGTGCTATACTCAGGTTAACCAGTTTGACCGCAACTGTAGGTATCACTTCAGCGCCGCAGAAACTAGCGCGCAAAACGCTGGTGCTGAACACATGCAGCCTCACGCCTACACTATGTTGTGATGATTGTCGATTGTCACAGATGCAAGCCGCAGTTGAGCACAAGCATGATGCGAGACAGCTGAACCGACCTTCCCCGGCCTTTTGTGCGGGTTGATGTGAACATTCTAACATATTCTGACATGTTCTAGTCTAACCGCGACATGGCCTCAACATCTAATTGTCGAGAAGTCCCGGAGCAGATGGCCATGTGGGCCAGAGATGTGAAACCGACGGAGGCAACGCTCGCGAGTTGATGACTGATGCCGACCCGACGGCACTCTCTTGGTATCGACGGACGGTGATGGCCAAAGGGCAACGGCGCAAACCACGAGATGCAGCTTCGGGATGGACCTCCAGCCCTGTCGTCTGCATTACCTGCAGCACAATGCTGGCTGCAGTTGTTGGCTCGCTCATCTTCGCAGGCACGGGCTCGTTTGTCGATGCGTCACGTTGTGACTCAGCGCCATACTCGCCGTACCCGTCTGACTCGACAAGGCTTCAGCTTCAGCTTGTCACTGGAGGCATGAGGGTCAAACTGTGTAGAGATAGCTCCCAGGTAGAGTCTGACCTGCATACATCCCAAGTGCAGATGCAACCTGGCGTGGTTGTGGCTGGAGACACGACCGAGAAGGCGGCGAGAGTTCTCGGAGCGACATTTGCGAAGAGCGTAGTTTGAGAGACCTTGTAGGCTTCTGTTTTGTCGCGAATCTTCGCTGTGCTGTCAGCGATTGCTCAAGCGTGGGGCAGCAACCCTAATGGGCGGTTGAGGCAGAGTACAGCAGTCTCCAACTTGTTTCGTCTTTTGCCAATGGTTTGGCAGTGGAAGGGTGGCTCTATCGCTGACTGTGCTGTCAGGGAAGATGTGTTTAGTTGCTGCCCGCTTTCGTAGAAGCTGGATCCGTCGGAGCTTTCATAGAATTCTGTTGTCCTCCATTTTCAAGGGTCCGTTCGAAGCAGGCAGGTAACCAAGTATGCATGAACGCACCTCCAGTGGAGTGGACGGACATGCTTGATCCGTCAAGTGAACACAATGGCAACCTTCGTACATCAGCGAAAGGCGAGGGTCATCTGGCTCGAAGGGTATTCGTGCGTATTCGAGGTTGCCGTCAGCCTGAGCGTAGCAGAGCTAATTGGCAGGCAATGTTTTGAAGAGCCCCGCTTTCGCGGCGGGGCTTAGTTCGGCGATTTAAATCTCGTGGAGTGTTGAGCACGATTCCACTTAGACGTAATCGGCCGATGGTTTGATATGTGGATGCTATGCAGTGCATCTCCATGACCCGGTACGGCCTCGGTCGATACACGGGTGAGACCCTACTTCTCCTTTTGTAAACCTTTTGCCAAGTGCAGTGTGATCATCCACGGGACAATTACGGGGTTGTCGCTCGGATGGCAGATGATGGCGAATTAGCGAAGTAAGGTGAAGCACGAGCGTGGCCACTGTCAATTCAAGCGAGATGGCTGCGCAAGGGTGAGTTTCTGTGAACTTCGTTGAACCAGGGGGACCGCAGGACAGAGAGGAGAGAAAACAGAAAGGCATAGAGTCTTCGTCCGGCCTGTTCTTCGATCCATGTCGGATTTGCACGCATCGTGACGTTGCAATCCTCGCAGTGTCAGGCGTTGTCCCCTCAGCCCGGTGGTCAGCTAGCTTCTGTACCTGATGGGCCGCATGCATCACCTTCGACGACGTCCACCACGGGCCTGGCGCCGATGACCACCAAACATTTCCAGGCCTTCCATGCAAGTTCGATTCCAGCCGCCTTCCGGAAGTACCATGTGATCCAGACCGAGGCAACTGCACAGGCCGCTTCGCCGCCAAACGACTCCCAGCAGAAGTGCACCAAAGTTGCGTTCCTTCGAATTCAGAAGAGCCTCGGAGCAAGTCCATCCCGTAAGATTCCTGCCATCGAATGCAGTGGTCCTGAGGACGGCTTCCACGACATTCGGGTAAGAGTCTCAGCAATGGCAGCGAGATGATGGACAAGAGAAAGGGGCCAGCATTGGCTGCATGCCAGTTTCTTTCGAATCGTGAGTGCACGGATCACGGCTTTTGAATCCCTCCTTTCATGCAAGGCAAGAGATCATGTCGAAGATGTGTGGAAAGACCGGGCAGATTTGCAGTCGAAGTTGGGACAGGTGCCGTGAGCTTATTCTGTGATATCTGATATACCACTGAGTCGCCCACGCGGTGAACACCCTGTGGTTTGCTACTAGTACACCCGCTTTGGAAGCTCTTGAATTTCGCATTCTTAACATACGAGTTTGTACATAGCTTCGCAATTCATTTGGTTCATATTCTGAGCAGTCTGCACATGCTCTTTTCGTTAAGCCGTTAAGCCTTAGGTGTTCACGCGGCATGGGCAAATGCTCTCTTCCGCAGCTTGTCAAAAAGTGTTGAGCTGTGCTGAAGTGTCCATCCTAGCAGATCGAGACCACGAGTTGAACCCAGATTTGGTTATTATCACCTGGAGTATCGCGACTTGTCTTGTCATGGGTTACGGTCACGACATGCATCTTGGATGCTGCCAAGCCCAGGCTACGCCCGTGAATTTGTAAGTGGACCCGGACGCGGTTGTGTTGTGACATTTCTGCGTGATCCAGTTGCCGCTCGGCTGCTGGGGAGAGCAACAAATGCAGGCTTGTGATCACAGCAAGAAGCATGCCGGGACGTCACTTCCAATTTGTCGGCAGCCTCAGGAAAGGATCATGTTCCCAGCTTAGCAATGCTTGTCTTGATCTTCGAAGTGTTTCGAATCCGGTCACGCCGAAAAAACGCAGTGGTTGTGTGTTCGCGTGTGTTAGCTGAGGTCTGAATACTTCATGCTGCGCGCCTTGACACACTTGAGCACTGCAGAAGCTGCAGCAGCATCAGCATGTGTCAAAGAAGCGTGGTACCATGTAGCATCGGGGCGCAAAGGAGAGAAGCACCGTCAGTTCCTAACATTCGATCAATGGGACGTACATGCCGCTGATCTCCGCGATCTTGACGCCATTCTTGGTAGCAGCCTCAAGGTGGAAGTCTGACTATGTCTGACTGCAATGAAGTGTCACTAGAATCAAGCATCAAGACGGTGAAGCATGCGCGATGCTCCTGTTTTTAGGTAGCTGCACTGGTTTCGAGCCTGTTCATTGAGCGCATTTCCTTTCCGCCTCTCCTGAGGCATCAAAGACGTCCACCAATCCTTTCACCAGTATTTGCAGCATCCGGGAAACCCATCGCGGAACAGACAGACGTGCTCCAGACGCGAAATTGAAGATGCCAGTAGGTGTGCATCCTGGTTCTATCCCAAGCGCTTTTGATGATTCCATGCAGGTTGTACTTGCTGGGGTTCCAAAGAGTGCGCTGCAATGCCACAAGATGTGGAGGAGATGCATGTATTTGTGAGCAGGACATCTGCTTCGGGTTTGTAAGCACATGGCCGAAGACGCTCCAGCCGAGTGTAGCAGGGCTGTTGGCGCAGGATGACTCCGGCTATCCTTCGAAGGCATACAATTGGGACGAAGATGGAGCCGTCTTGTTGGAGAATGCGAACTGGTCTGCAATTAGCCGCACTGGATGCCACTAATGCGGGTGTACCAACTGCATGTCCGTGCACTGGGGTTAGGCGAAGGATCACTTGCGGGCGTGCCTTGCCTGCGTGTCCTGTGGATCGCATTAGTCTGCAAAATGAGATCTGACAGTCTGAGGTTGGATGCCTTTGGCATAACAGCCTCCAGTCCGCAACTTCGGTTCTGAAGTCCGAATCCGCCGTGTCCAGTGCTCAGGACTGCTTCGACCAATCCATCAAGGTCATAGCGCCCGCCCTGGGGTGGGACGCTGAGGCAGCTCTAAAGCTTGCCAAGGACAACCATGCCAAGGGCTGAGCGTCGTTTTCCAAAGAGATGCCAAGATCAAGAGCGCACCATTGGGGTGAGGCATTGCACGTGTGGCGACCGGTCATGGAGAAGGCCACCGGGTCGAATCAGGTCACTACCTGTATGCAAACAGGTTGTAGCTGACGTAACTCCGTGTCATGATATTCGCTGATTTGCGTGAGATGCAAGTTCTGTGCTCACAAAGCTACATACTTCAGGTCAAATTCAGATAAGTTAGAGAGAACTACGCTTAGGATGCAGGGTTTTTTGTGTATGCGGAGTCACAGTCTCAGTCTTAACGTCGATGCTATCTGCACACCACCATCGGTGTTAAGATTCCATGATGCTTCGGAGCTTTGTGCTGCAGGCTCGGCAAATTCGACCGAGCGGCAGTGCCACATCCGTTGAAGGAGGGGGAAGCTGTGGGGAGTTGTGTGACCACAGAGTGAGAGACCACAACGGAAACGGAGCTTTTGCACCGCCGAGGCCAACGACGTTTGAGCTTCAATGGTCCGGGCAGCAACTTCTGGCGCGAGTTTCTTCATGACGATGTGCCCTGACCAGCATAGCACGGATTGCAACGGGGTAGGTGGAACGTCCAAGGAGCAACAGAAACCCGAGACCTGAGACTAGGGAGGTCGGAATCAGAAACTTTATGCCAGTTCAAGCCCTTTTAGAGGCGCCAGAGAAGGCTCCAGCAGGACAGCAGCCGAGAGCAGCGGCAAGTCAATGTTTGAAGCAAGTCTGTGGCTCATGAGGTTCGCAAGGAAATTCTGGCACCAAGGCTGCAGTTTTAAAACAGTCTCGTGTTGGTTTCGGGCAGACATGGCAATTCTAATTCCGCTGTTCCTGTGATTTCCTGTGATGCCTAAGGCGGTCAATCGATTGGATGCAGAGCTCCTGACTTTCGCTAGGAAACACTTCAAGGAGAAGCATGGTGCAAGACTCGGATAAGCCGTTATGCTGCTATGCTACATCCTGTGATGCACAAGACATGACCAAAGGTATTGAGTGCACCGACGAAGCTTGACGCACAAAGACGGCGATACTTTGAAGCATTTTTGGAGCCATCCCACGTTGCTGCGTTGAAGTGAGGTGAAGAAATCTTAAGACTGTTAAGATTTAAAGCTTCCTTTCTCGTAGAGGGACTCATGGCTCATCTGGCAACGTGAGTGCAAGGTTCTGCCAGATCCACCGTGCGGCCACAAGTGCATCTGCGATTGCCAAGAAGACCATCGTCCAAAAGTGCTGCAGGGCCCTAGCTCGCGGGCAGCACTGCACCTGGACCATCAGAGCTCCCCGCAGAGCTAATTGAAGGCACACTGACGAACGTGCTGCGATCTGGGAGGCTGCCACAAAAACAGGGTCGACCAGTCGGAGAAATATGCTACCACTCTTCACCCTCACGGACAACATCTCTGGAACCGAAGGATTGCTCCGTACAAGCCATCGGACACTCCCGACAGGCACTAGCGCATCTACATCGCAGAAGCAACAGATGCGCTCATGAAAAGCTGTATGCAGTGCTGCAGCACCGGTCTCTCCAATGTTATTGATTCAGCATCTTGTGCTAGTAGGAGTCTCATCAAATCATGCAGCACTTTGCTCAGCCGTGCACAGCAGCACGGAGGCTTCAGCCTGGCAAACACCACGGTTGCACTAAGCACAGCTGCACCAAATGGGCTAGATTTGCAAGGTGTATGCTACTTGGACTGCTAGACTTAGAGCGCATGTACACACTCGGCAGCATTTGTATGCTGGAGTCTCGTGTCGATGGTTGATGAAGGTCATGCCCTCAGAACCGGAGGCATTCCAGGTTGCATCGCATTTTCGCGCGATTTCTGCCCGAGTCTGACATGCTAGCCTTGGCCTGAGCCTCCAGGTGCTCGCCCGCTGTACGCTGTGTTGGGCATTGCGCCAGATGCTAGCGCCGACAACGTAAAGCAGGCAGATGCAGCGGCGCACTTCCTTCCGAACCCAGCCCCAAGCAAAAGCTTTCGGTAGTGAGGCTTATCGACGATTGGCTTTGCAGCATCATCCGGACAAATGCAGCGGACTAAGCGGAAGGAAGACCCAGCTTTCCCAACAAAATGACGAAGCCGGGGCCGAGGTCCGGATCCGGCGAAGGCCGTGCTGCTGTCATGCGTTGCATCCGCTGTGTTGCATCCGCTTCTGCAGTGGGCACTGAGCCAGGCAGAGACCGAGGCCGTCTTCGCCCGCATCGCCTTTGCCTACGAGGTCAACGGGATGCGACGGCTCGGAAACCACCTCTGCCCCTGCTCGTATGTTGCAGGTTCTTGGCGACTCCCAGCGCAGGAAGCGCAGCATTCTCGGTGTAGCCGGCCTCGTGATGCCCAGTATGTCAGAGAGTCGGAAGCCGGTGCAGAGGCTATGACCTGACCGGAGAGCTACCGCAGAACGACACGGCTGCAGGCAGTCAAGGGTTCCTTGTTTTCAGTGCCAGTAAACTAGTAGGCTTCAAAGCTGATCACTGATAACTGAGGCCGTTCTGCTCAAGAGACTTTCTTGAAAGAGTACATGCAGACTGCACTGCACCGAGTTTCCATGATGCAGAGCAGCGTTCCGAACGAGCATACTATGGTGCTGAGGCTCCCAAGACTGCACGCGCAGCCACCCAGGCCCTGCTGTGGCCCGGGCGACTAGTTCGAGCATGTTCAGAAATGCCTTAGGCAGACTATTCCCTTCACAGCTTGGACAATTACGAGATCCTGGAGGCCTTCGTTTCGTCAGCTAGCAGTGGAGTAACGTTTCACACAACTGTGTACAAGTATTCGTCATGCGATCTCTCTCCGGTGCATAGGGAAACCTTAGCTGCTGCATGAGAGGCATGAATCATCCAAGGGCACGAAACGAGCCTCTGAAAACGACCAAGGCAGGCCAGCCAACCACCAAGCCAACAAGCGAGCACGGCCCAGATCATGTGGTGAACTGTTCTTAGCCAACCGTCCTGCACATCCAAGCGGCTGTACTGCACGCTTTTGTGACTCCATCCGTTCCCCTTCCCGTCCTCCCTTGTCCTGTCAAAATGGAGGTCGATGGAACAAATGTCCCGTCGTACATGCTGCGCCCTCGGCCTTGCGAGGCTTTAAGCCGCGTGAGACCGATTCCGCAAGAGCTTCAGGCGAGAAATCGTTGCAAGCGGTCTGGGATACCTGGCCGCCGTGGTCGAAGGCCTGTCTTCGCGCAAGCACATACTGTGTCACGTCACCTGCTAAAGTGCAGGCATGGAAGACAAAGATGTTGTGCTGCTTCGGCACTTTGTGATGGATCAGATGTACGCCTTGTTGGCGCGCCGAAGTGGGAGAGTCAGAGAAGCGCAGGAGCAACAGGAGATGACACGTGAGGCCTACACTCCGCCCTTGGATGCCGGTGCGTTCGGCGGAGACCGTGGATATGTGGGCTTCCTACAAAAAGTGGGTCGGAAAGAGACGGGACAGGTGACCGGGAGTCTGGGAGTGAGCATCTGAAGGTCATCACTTACTACGATGCCCCACTGCAGGCGCAAGTCGCACTTCCATCTCCCACTGACCTGCAGTGAGCTGCAGGCTGGCATCCAGCCATCTTGGTCAGACCAGAACGGACCCGCAGGTGCGAGTGAGCAGTGTGTCGCTTGGGAGAGAGACAGGCCTACCACTCATATACAGGTCGTTCTGGTGTAGCCAGCAGCTCACTGGCGCAGCCGCAGCCCCAGAAGATCCTCAAAGCATCACGAAGCTTCATCAGCTCCATCTCTATCCTGGTCTATCCTTGCTAAGGCTTCGCGTCATCGGCGACCAGGCGGTTGAACGGCGCCGCCTCGCCGCTTTGGTCGGAGACCCTTTCGTCACAAAGAAGAGCCTATTCAGTCATCCAAAGCTTCGCTGCCTCTTTGCAGGAATGGAGCGGCAAGGACAGACATCCGGCTCCGGTCGCGCCTGTGCTCCGCCGAGTGTGCGAGTCGCACTGAGCCGCAGTGTATGTGGCAGTTCGCAGCCGCAGAATCCTGTGGAGGTCAGACACAAAGTACCCGGCGAGGGTTTGACGGCAGAGAGGTGCTCTGACAAAATCCGCTTGTGCTCTTCAGCGAAGGCCTGCAGTCATCAAAGACGTAAGGTTGAGAGCAGCGGCTTTGCTGCTTGCGCAGCAGGAAAGCGATCTAGGCAGGGTGCCTGGGGTCTGGGTTTGCAAGTGCGATTTCCGCACCAGGAAGGCTAGATGGAGACGCTGCGAGGGCACATGCAGAGAAAGGTGCTAGACCGTCTTGGTCATGATGGTTGCCAGTTCTCGTGGTTGCATCCAGTCCATACAGAATCTGAACCAACGAGAATCGGCTACGGAGAAAGGTGCAACTTCGACAGGCGAAGGTATGGACTAAAAGGTCGGCGTGTATCTATTTGCGCTCAATCGCTGCCTTGCTGCACGACGGATCTCACCCGGGGGCGCAGTTGGGGGGTTGACGGAGTTTGCTTCCAGCGTCTTCCAGCTGTGCTGGAGACTACCGGCCACCGCTTTGATTGGTGCCCCGCCAGCGACATGAGCAGGGATGCAGCGTGTCTGACAATAGAAGAAACCCCGGCTGGCTACAGCAGCAGCAGAAGGAGCGGCGGCACTCCTCCTCACTGATGTCCATCCGAACTGTTTTCAATGATCTGTACTGCAAACGCATGAGCTTCGTGCATGCATTACTTGTATGGCATGCCATATAAAGCGGCAGAGACACATGCATATCATGCATCTAGCTGCATATTATGTGATGTGCTCATGCATGTGTGGACACACGGTATGTTCTGTAGACATAATAACATGTATGCCTTTACGATGCAAAGATATATATATATATATATATATCCATGCATTTACTTGTTTACCCAATTATGTTTTAAGTATGTCCAGCAAGCTTGTGTCCTCACTTGCACGCAGTATCGAGTGCCACAGAGAGCTCCATGAAGTAGACTGTGCTATGGCAGCTTTACCTGTATGTACCACTACATCACGCAGAGACTGGGCAGCCCTGCGCGAGACAAGCGCTTTGGGAGAATCCAGGCCTTCACGAGCATGCCACATGGTTGGGTCAAGGAGGTTTGTGAACTTTTTTGCCACCGCCGGTGCTGGTGCTTGCTGGGCGATACACCGTTCCAGCAAGCACAAGACTCGCGGCACCCGAGCCGTGTCGCGAGCCTCGCACGTGCCCCAAGCTGTGCGACTTGTCTCTGTGAAGGGAAAGCAGCTGGTTATCGATGATGCGAGTCTCTTCAGTCTTGTGACAGCGCTGAAGGCTTCACCCTGCAGTCACATAGCGGTGATTTCGATAGCAGGCGCTCTGAGACAAGGCAAGTCCTTCTTCCTGGACTTGTTTGCAAGGTACTTGGAGTCTTCTGACGGCTGGTTGGCAGAATCTCTGCTGGACCACCAGCGATTTCATTGGAGCTCGGGGATGGAGCGAGTCACTGATGGCGTTTGGGTTTGCCCACAGGTCTTTCAGGTGCCGAGCTCTGAGAAGACGCGAGTTGGTATTTTGCTCATGGACACTCAAGGCACATACGAGCCCGGAGCGACCCGCTGGCAGAACGACTCGTTGCTTGGACTGGCTGGGCTGTTGTCTTCAACGCTCCTTTTCAATATTTCCAAGCAGCTCCAAGAGGACACCGTTGAAGATCTACAAGCCGCAATGGACATGTTACACATGACCTGTCGCCACAAAGGTCGACCGCCACCCCCCTCAGACTCCAGAAATCTGACATTCTTGGTACGGGATTGGGCTCACGCAGATCACGATGAGCTGCACTTTGAAGATGACTTGGCCACAAATCAACGGCTACCAATGAACGACCAGGAACAAAGTGTCCTGGCAAGCTTTGTGCATTCAACCACAGCAGGGCAGGGCTTGGGGCAGTTCTTCGAATCGCTACACTGCCGAACGCTGCCACACCCAGGCCACATTGACAGACCTTGTTGGACTGGCGTTAGTTCCGACGTTTCTTCTGGTTTTATCAACAAGTGCAGGAAGCTATTTGACACCCTCGCTCATGCAGCCAGTGCGCAGACCGGTGCTGCCATTCGAGTGCAAGATTTTGAGCAGACATTGAAGGAATCCGTCATCCTCTTGAACTCTACTCAAGACTTGACAGAAGGCAAGAGTCGCAGTGCGGTGCTGTCAGATCTCAGCATGTTGAACGCCGTGGATCGAGCCCGGTCCAGCTATCGGGCCAATATGTACCGGGCAGGTGCTCTGATGAAGGGGAAAGCTATTCCTCAGATCCTGCTTGGCGAGGTGGCTGGTACACGGGCCTTGGTGGCGGAGGGTCTTGCTGCGGCGCATCGTGACTCCGTCGCAGTTGCCCAAGACGAGTTGCGGCGACTGGCTTTGTTCTCCGACGACTGTGCACTAGCTCAAAGTGCCAGTGAATTGGAGGACAGATCTTGTGAAGTGACTTAATGCACGCTTTGCCTAACAGTCTCATGACCAGCTGAAATTAAGCCTTCACGAAGCCTCGCAGGAGGAGCTGGAAAAGGAGCTGCCCCGCTTGCAGGAAGAGAATCGGCAGTGGAACCAGCAGAGGTTGAATGGTCTGGCTGAAATGACGCTGGCTGCAGTCACAGTGTCCTTGCTGTGTTGTGGTTTCATCCCACAGGATTTGTCGAGGTTCTCTCACATACTCTGAACTTTTGCGTGATCGTGTCGATCGGAGCATGCAGATAGACTCGGCTCGGGGGTATTCCGGGATGTTTCTGGAATCGAGGTGTCCGGCTTGGTTCCACCAGCCGCACCGGGGATTGCTGCTGTCATGGTGCCTGCTTACGGGCTGCTTGACTAAGACACTGTGGAAGCACCGAGTCGCTTACATTTGTTGCCATGAGTCGCCGAAACATGCTTCGGTTCTGCCTTTGTCAGGCTTCAGCTGTGGCGATTCAAGATTGCTGGCGGGGCCGTTTGGCTGATTTACTTGCCGGATTGCCGGCTATGCGGTGATGACTGACTAACCCCTGCCAGACCAGACAAACCAAGGACTTCATGGCCAATTCGGCCACTGGGCTTGACTGCAACATGATATGACCCATCGCAGAAGTATACTCGATGATGTTTATGGGCATTGACTCACACACGCTTGCAGAATCTGTTGTCTTTTCGTCTCCCCGATTGATATTCCGGCGTTGCATTCGCTTCTTGTTGGGGAGTCGAAAGGACCTCTTGCAATTGTCGTGTTGTAGGTGGAGCAATTCTCCATCACATGTTCCCACGATCCGTCAAGCTGAGATTGAGCTGCACAAAGCCATGCTGCGAACGGAGCGCAAGTGGGCAAAGGACAAGATCTCACCTGAGAAACACTCATGACGTGCTTAAGGCTGTGCGTAGCCAGAGCGTCGTGGGTTTCGGGCAGGTTTGCATTCCTGTCCACTTTTCTTCCGTCACGCAAGAGTATGTAATCTGTAGTAGAGGCAATGTGCGGCAAACTTGCAAGCTCCCTTGCGTTGCTGCCGTTCTCATGGCTTCAGGACTTCAGGTCATGGTTGTCAGAGGGATCCTCGGAGCCAACAGCGGCACGACCACTTGACTGACCCTCTGGCTGTAGAAAGGGATTGAGCATTCTCGACTGAGCAGTGCCCATCGCCACCGCGCTTGCGAAAGCCAGCTTTGCACAAAGTCTGACCGGCCCCGGAGCAGACAACGACATCCAAGAGTCAGAGTAGGCAGCCTTTGCAAACTGCTTCGTGCTGCAGATCACCACTTCGGGGACACCTTTGATGAGATGCTACAGGAAGCATGCAAGCCTTCATTCGCGTTCACTTTCCCAAGTTTCGGAAAAGCCTGCTGTGCTGAAACTGACGACTTGGCACTACAATGGCGCAGTCAAATGCGAACATGTCGACGGACTTGGCTGCTGTTGCAGTATTCTTGTGCTCAGTTCAGCCCATGTTCTGAATGATAAAGCAGTCCGGTTCACAGGAAGTTTTACGAGCAGCCGGCTGCGTAAGGAGCTGGAGGAACTGTCTGCACAGCTGTTCACCCAGAGTCTTGCTTGCTGGGACATTCCTCAAATGTCACGTGATCGCAGGAGCTTTTGGGTTTGCCACCTGGAGGACTACAGGCCTTGGCAAGCGGGACTCTTGGGGGAGCAGAGAATGCACATGCAATAACCTGGGCCAGTCCTATGGAAGCGCTCAGTTGATGGGCATTGTCCTGGAGGCGTCGGAGGAAGTGCAGGTCTGCTCTGCTGGCAAAGTGCTGGTTTGCGGCCCCATGTTTAGGATGCACAAGCCTGCGCATCCCTCCTCGACGGCTAGAAGTGCCTAAAAGCTACTTGAATGAGCTAAGCAGTTCCAACCAGCCCTGAAGCTACCAAGCACTTGGTAGCAGAGGTCCAGCGAGGCTTTGTCACTAGCTCTGATTCATCTGCTCGAACGCTGAAGACTTGTATCATGCAGCCCGGAAGGACGAAGGCGAGCACTCTGCGGATGAAGGCGCCGCACCTGCACATCAAGGTAGGTGCGCATCTCTGATAGTCTCTATCGTGCCGTGCGCCAGGCTGACTTCGCTGCTTGGAGCCCAACGTGGCAGGTGTCTTGCTTGGCTTTGAACCCCCAAGACGGAGGACAGAGGAATCGTGCGAGCAGAACGGGCTCCGACGTGGACGCCACTCTTTGTACAGGCTGTGATCGTTGAGCAGAGCAGCTTGCTGCAGGGCTAGGCAAGACCCGCAGCGTGTTTTCGAGCCGCAAAAAGTCTGCTTCGGGCTTCACAGAGAGCACCACTTGCCTGCTTGGACATTTTGAGACCACTTCAAACCTGGCTGACGAGAGTAATGGCTCAAATTCCGATACGGTAACAGAAACCTGGGGTCAGCCTCACCCCTGTGTCCAGACCTCGTGAAGTGAGTCTGCTGATGACATTTTTCCAGCACTGACCCCAAGGCAATGAAAGATGGCGTCTTGCCGGCAAAACCCCGCGGGCGCGAACACCAAGACATGCTGACTGCTGTTCAGAGTTCCGGCCACCACACCTGCTCTCGCAGGCAAAAGTCTCCATTTTCGGCCTGGAAGCAACCAGGATTTTGGGCATCTCAGCTTCACCGGCAGTGATGCTTTGACCCGTGGTTCTGGACGATGTAGCCCGCTGATGTTCACATGTGCTGTTGCAAGGCCGTCTGGGGCCCGCAATATGCAGTCTTCGTGTTTCTGCTGCTGCTTGGCTGCAGCCATGTCCCACACATGCCGCACTCATTTCACTTTGGCTGGATATCCGACCAGGTTCTTTTATACATTTGGGTTCATGGCGCTGCAAGAGACCTGGAGCAGTACGCCTGGCACTCACAGCATAAAGCTAAGAAGCTCAGCCTGCAGGCCAAGCATCTGTGTGATCTTGTCGGCCTCCTTCCTCATGGTGGCTGGGGTGTAGCCAGCTCAGGTAGTGCCAGGAGACAGCGTGTGACGTTCATCCATGGCATGGCCACTGCAGGTTGTTTGCGTTCAAGCACGAAGGCCTGCGACTCTGTTGAAAGCGCCGGTCCAATGTTTTGGACATGTGCTTGTCCTGCCGCTTCAGTGCGAACCTTCCTTCCGGCGTCCTTGATGCTGCCTGTCGCCACCGCCGCCGGCTCCATCGGTGGCCTGTACACCTACGATGTGTGTGCTGCTAAGTTGTGTAAAGTGTTTTGGCCATTGAGCACGTAACAGCAGTGGCGTTCAACAAAATCGCTTGGGTTCTGCAGGTATGCCATCTATCCACAATTCTACAGCAATGCTCGGTGCTGCTTGCGAGAATTAAATCATATTAAATCATTCAGATTGGTTGCAGGCACGCATGCCCGTGCGTCGTCCGGCCGCAGTGAGCGGGAACGAGTGCGGCGAACTGCCAGGGTGTACGCGGATGTGCTTCCGTCTCAGCCGAGTGCTGCAGCCTGAAGCCAAGATTCCAGCGCAGGGATGAACTGGGACGCCAGGTTTGGCTCTTTGCTTGCACTCAAGGTGGCGGATGCAGGCAAGCTCGTCTTTTCATCATCGGCATTCGTAAATGGCTTAACTTTGCGGAATTGCCATGTGCTGGCGCTTTGGCTTTGAACTTGGACAAAACATCAGGTGGATGTCCAGCATTCAGTGTCCTACGTCACCGAACGCAGTCGTCCAAGCACAAGTCATTCAATCGTCATCCTACGGCATTGCCTTGGCTGGGCTTGGTTTAGGTGGGTCCGTCTTCTGCCTACACCTCGGAGCGACTTGCCGGCGAAGCTCCCCACCAAGTCCTACAAGTCGTGCCTAAGGTGTCGCGCCGGTACGAGATTCCAGCCAAGTGCAGCAGATGCAGGACAACATGGTCACAATGCTCTCGTGTGTCGAATTTACCTCTGTGATTGTAAAGCTTGATTGCTACCCGCAGTACTGGGCCGTGGGCACTGCCTGCTGCTCCCTTGAGGGAGGAGCGAAGGGATCCAGACAAAGGAATGCTCAGTGTGTCAGAATGGCGATGCTAGTATGTCAGTATGAGAGCTGATGACTGTGCGCAGGAGACTTCTGGTGTGATGCTGCCAAGGACAGAAAGGTTCCTTGCTGCATGATGTGCTACGACTCTGGAATGGGGTTGTGTACAGTCGGAGGCAAACCTAGGCTTTCGCCGGTCTGTGACTGACAGGCAACGGGTGGTATTGTCATCTTCGACAACGAGGGCTTCTTCTCATCTAGCAGCTATGACGAGTACCGCAAGGAGACGCGCGTTTTTGAACAGCTTTCTGCATCTTTTGCTCTCAGCTGTGATTTTTCTAGGCGAGCCGGAAAGCCGAAGCAACCTACCAGCTCATGTCGGTCTCGGAGCCCAGGCTGTGCAGAATCTAGGGCCCTTCTTCTGAGTCTATAAGACATCTAGGTATATCTAGGTGTCTTGGTGATACGCTTGGTGATACGAAGCAGTCGGCAGGTATGTACGCTGGGTGCTTGCCTGAGCAGGGCTTGAGGATTCAGTAGCAGCGCCGGACTGAAATCACCGCTGTCTCGCTTCTCAAGGTCATGGATGACAACCTCAATGCGCTTGCCAATGAGTACAACATTAAGGCCAGAGGTGGAGGGACCTGAGTATGATCGAAAGTCATCAGATGCGATGTAGCAAGGAAACTCGAACGGTTCTGGCAATACGACGAACATGCCGTTTGCACATGCCTGTCTGCGGCATTTGAGTTCTTCAGCTGCGGCACGGCGCAAGCATACTGACGCATCGGAGTTACAGACGACCCGCGTTCTCCTGAGTTGTCGAAGGTGGCTGTGGGAGTCCTGCTCGCGCAGCCAATTAATTTTAACGCTACGCCGCCCGCCTCGGCTCTGTAGTGGCAGGGCGAGGGTCCCGGCTTATTGCCTCTGGTAAGCCCAAGCGGGGGCGAGGAAGACGAAACGAGGGCGGGAAGAAGTGGCAGCAGGAAAGAGGGAAGAAAAAGGGGGGGAGGGGGGGGGAGGGGCGGGAGGGGGGGGGGGGGGAGGGGGGAGGGGGGAGTGGAGGGGGGGGGACGGGGAGGAAAAAAGGAGGGGGGAGGAGGCCTGGGAGGGGGCCGGGTAGGCCCGCAAATCAAAGAAAATGAGGGGAGGCCGGGCAAGGGGGTGGCAAACGAGCGCAAAAACAGGGTGTCACCAAACATTTGGGCTGCAGGGAGGAGGATTAGGTGGAGGGTACCTGAGGTAACCACCAAAACGCCTGGGCCTGTGGCCTCGGCGGATTGGTATTAGGTCAAGCTCATCATGGATCCTCACCTCTCACATAAGCGGGCTCGTCCCAGTTGTCACTCCTAAGCAATACTTGTACCGGTTGACCACAGCCGCCGCAGAGTTTTGTAAATGAATGCCGGGGCACCTCTCGCTGTCCTCGAGACATCCGTACCGGCAAGATCGGGCGTCCCAGCTCCGATTGAGAGGTTGACACCGGCGGCTTCATGGTGGATGTTGAAGTGCGAATGCTTGCTAAGCCTTGCACATGTCAACTGATGCACTCGGCAGACCGCCCTTGCCCTATTTGGAATGGCCGTCGCGTACGGAGCCATCTCATATGGGCTGGCGGACCCCTCGGCATCGATTGCGATTGCGTAGAGCCAGCCAACTCTTGACATCATTGAGGTCGTCCTTACTGGCTGACCTCTCAGCATCATCTGTCAACATAACGCAGTCATGTTGGCTGGGCTTTCTTGCATTTCCCAGGCAAGCTGCCATGATTCGTTTCTACACGCCTTCGAGCGCCCGAGCATGCGTGCATGGCAAAAGAGCCTAGAGCGGCTTCTAGCGCCGCACTCAAATCGAAAGAGTTTCAGTCGCATAGCAAGGGGCCCACGACAGAGCTGGTTGGCCTTGACCGAGCGTGAGTAAGCGGCTTCAAGCGGATGTGATGTGGGAATTTACTTTAGTGTCTGCTGCAGATGCTTGTCCCGCCTCTATGGCTCGAGCGGACGGCAATTTCACGTTGGATTCTTTTGCAATGCCGCGAGCCACAGTTTCATTCAAGCATGAGGAGCAGGTCGGCTTCTCAAACCGAGCGGTCCAGTGGTCCAACTGTGCACTGGCATCACAGGAGTGGACGCATGACTTCGAAGTCGACGCAGCCACAACTGTGCTAGATCTCAAGCGAGACTCGGTGAAGGAGGTGTTTGCTTTGTGGCTGTTCGGACGTTGTCCGGGCTTCATTGGTTTTGCAGCTCAGGGAAAATGACATCCTCCGCGCCCGAGCATGCGGCATGGTTTGATTTATGCCCTGAGCTGAGTCGGAAGTTCGAGCTCTGCTAATTGGGCAAGCAGCGATCGGAATGGTGACTACACAACGCTTTGGGAAAGATGTGATTTGGGCTCCCGTCGTCCGAAGATTAGAAAATCCGTATGCGCCGCGGGCCCTAGAAGCGTTTGTCGGAATGAACGAACTGCCGATGTGATGCATAAACAAATTATGAGCAGCAGTTTTGAAGCCATGTAGAAGTTTCTCCAAAGCAGAGCATCCGACATAATCCTGAACTGTCCTGCACTCTGATAGATTCACGTAGACGCTGCGAAGGCCGATATGCTGCTTTGGCGGCGCAGGCTACATTGTGTAATGTGGTAACAATATGAAGAAGGCAAGGGAAACTTTTTGTGAGAAAGAGACGTACTTCGACTTCAACAAGCAGCTTTGCATCTCTCATCATGGAGTTGATTTGGGCATTTGCCATGCGTTCCTGGCAGCACTGGATCATGGACCCAAGAGGCGCATGCGGTGGACTGCACTTCGCGCACGCATGGCAGGATCACCACGTACTCAGTTATCGTTTTCGGCGTGTGGACGAGTCTTCCTTCTTGTGTCATAAACACCACTGCACGAAGACAAGGCTAGCCTAGCTCGCGACGTTTGCACAGCATAACGTGTAACGGTGCATGGCCCTGCGTAGGCTACAAGGATGAGAACAGCCCATAGATCCATCTCTATCATAGGACCATGCAAAGCACGACTCATGTTGAGAAGCTGAACTAGCACATAACATGAGCTTATGTGGGAAAGAGCATAGCATGCATAACTCCGACTGCTTGTGTGAGACGTTTCATTGAAGAGGGTGGTGCTCTTTGGCAAAAGACTTAACAGGTTGTGCACACGGGCCGAACGAAAACAATTGTTAGGCTCGACTCCTTTCGTATGGCTTGTGATGGGCTTCTCAAATCTTCAAATCCTTAAACAGATGGGCGCGCTTGAGCCTCTGAAGCTTTGCCCAGGCAGGGACGGCAGCACAGTAAAGAATAGCGACCTGGTCGATCCACTGGCATCGCACTCAGTTTCAGGCTTGTCTGCGACACGAACGAAGTATTCGTGGCGTCATGGGTTCCCAGCTCTCAGCTCTTTGGTTCTTTTTCTAGCGCTCTGAGGCGATTTATATTTTCCATTACCTTGGCCCCAGCGGAAGTGAGCAGGCCTGCGTTCTGGCGACGCTATTTCAGTTTTCCATGGCCCAAGAAATGACGAGCATGCCTATCATCCATCAGGATAACCTTGTAGAGCATGCTGCCGGACTGACTGGAGAGGACCGCGGTTCAGGTCCAGGTATGCTGATCTGAAATTCTGCAGGAAGCTTTTAATCTCAGCATACTGAGTTAGAGCCGTGTTTTCACTCGGTAGATCTGCAGGATCACGATGATCCATTCCCAGCTGCCCGAGAAGAGCCACGGCCGCTGTCAGCACCAGTCGCGGCTGCAGACCCGGAACCAGCTGTTCCGCGCTGGAGGATAACAGGAGGCCCGGTGCAGCATAGTGGAGCGAGCACACGGGGACAACCTCTACTGTCTACGTCTTGGCAAGGTTCGGACAAAGGCGGCATCATCGTGCGACAGTCCGAATCGTTGAAATCTGCCGACCTTGGCCGCGTGCATGCCTGAGCTCATGTATGAAGAAGGTATCACGGCAGTGCCGATCAGGCCTGAGTTGTTCGATAATATGAGTTTCGAAATTTTCTCTGCCGTATGCAGTATGCATGTATCGAGTTAAGCAGACTCTGGCCCGCTGGCGTTCATGATTCGCTCTGTGGTTCACGGGGAACACAAACAAGTGGTGGGGCCATTTGGCCCATCCGCCCACACACTGCAGATCATTTCGACTCAGGTTGGATAGAGAAGCTGCAAAACCACAAAGGAAATTTTGCAAAAACACGTCAGGCACTTATGAAAAACAAAATGAATTCCAAATGACGTAGCGACAGGGCCTCACCCCCAACCCATGATGTACAGCTTGGTCATTGAACGCCACCAACCATTGGTGCTTTGTGACCGTACTTCTTACATTCGTCGATTCTTGAGTCAGGACGGTGGGTAACTGCTACTTCGAGTTGCATGACGGAAATACAAGGGCTGGACGATCCTCGGTGGTCCGGTGGTCCGATCAATGCTGGCGACGGCCAGGAACCGCCACCCGTCTCTTCGTGCATCAGGCAATTATGGGTTTGCGCCAGAACAGGGATGACAGCTACATTGACATGGTTGCACTTTCCATCTCAGCCTCACCGTGCACACACACACACACATACAGCAAAAAGCAAAGAGAGAGAGAGAGAGAGAGAGAGAGTGAGACCGGTGCGCCTGCGGGCGCTGGGAGTGGGCTCGCGTGCTCCTTTGTCCGATTGCAAGCAAGAGATAGAGCCCGGAAGAACCTAGCATGTTTGACGTACCACTGGAGCAGGCACTAGAGAAGCAGGGCGAATGTTCACTTACTCTGTACTAGTTGGAAACTTGCTTCCTCAGACAGTCACCTTCTCCAGAGGGGGGCGTTCTTTGCCTCACGCCCCAAGAGAGAGAGAGAGAGAGAGGCAAAGAGCTCAAGTGCCACACCTTGTACTTGGGGGTCTGTTCGCCCTCTTGTGCCGGGGGGGAGAGGCAGGGGGTTACTCTGGGCTGTTACCCCGGAGGAGCCACCCTCGCCTTGACCCAGTGGTGCTTGAGTCTCCGCCCGCTGCCATCTTGCTTAAGAGGCCCCTTTGCCAGCGCACCCTCCCGAACCTGACCGCGGCCCCTCCTCCGGGAGGGTGGCCCGCCAGTAGGGGGACGGAGCATACTTCAGCACTGTGGACCACGGGGAGACCTTGTCCTACTACCACCTCACGATCCATGTCGAGCTCTTCAAGATCCAAGCCGGGGGGGAAAGACAGCCCCAGAGGTGGGAGAAGCCGAATAGAGAGAGACCCATCGGCAAAGCCAGGCAGAACCAAGACGACCTGGCAGGAGCAGTGTGCAGTCGCGGGGAAACTTAAGGCCATGGGGGTGACATGTCGAGCATGCCTTGAAGGACCTTTTTGCCACAAAAGCCACGACAGTGGCGCCTCATGCTACAAACAACGTGTTGCCACGGGGGGGATCGCCAGCACGGCGGCACCCAGCAACATACGGAAGCAGAGGGACGTGGCTGATGAGCATGACCTCTACCAACCCGAAGGGGGAGGGACTTGCGAAGTCGCGGGGAGGACAAAGCCCTACTCCGACTACGTTCGCTTCGAGACTGAAAAGGGGAGAGCTCTCCTGTACGAACCAGACCCGCTGGACCGGTGGATCGGGAAGAACATCAAGAAGAACTGGAAAACGGGGAAATACAAAGACCGCATAACGGGGGAGATCCTCGACGAGGCCAACACTCAGGAGTGGGAGCAATATGTGCAAAGGCACAATGCGAGAAGAGAGACCGGCAGACAAGCCGACAAACTCGTCGACATAGTCCAGGAGGGGAACCCAAAGATCGTCGCGGAGCTCCTTTGGTATATAGCCAAACACCCGTGGAAGGTGGGGGCGATGCTAAGCCAAGCAAAGCAATGCTACAAGAACCAACCCACAACACTCACGGAGGGGGCGAAGGGCAGCAAAGCCGAGAAAAAGGGGGACAAGACGGAGAAGAAGGACCGGGACAAGAAGGACCACAAAAAGACCAAAAAGTTGAAGAAGGACAAGAAGGCCAACCAACGCGCAGTGGAGAAGAAGCGGACCAAGCGTGAGATAAAGGCGGGGAGCTCAACAGACACAGCTCACGAGGGGAAGCGGATCAAGCATGAGATGAAGGCGGGGAGCTCAACAGATATAGCCCGCGTGAACCCGACTGCGGAAGCCACGGAGAGCTTCAAAGAAGAGGAAGTGGACTGGGGCGACGACGAGGAGAAGACGACGACAACCGAAAAGCCGAGCACCGTGGGGGGCTCGAACAGTTCCACGGATGCTGGGGCGCGACCATCGCTACCAAGCCGCAGCCCAAGACAACGAGACCGAGGACGAGGTGGGGAAAGACGACCGGGGAGCACACAACGCGACCCCAACCAGGTCCGACTACTACCTGGACCCATGTGGCATGCTGTGAGACGTGTACAAGCGCATATGCGGGGTGATACCACGACGTGACCTACAAGCAATGAGCGGGGGAAGTTTCTTCAACAGTCTTTCTGCGAGCTTACAATGATGAGCCTAATTCAAGACGGGCCGCTGGAGCCATTCCGACTAACTACCAACAGGGCCACACGCCCTTGCACTTGCACAAATTGGCATTGCGTCAGAGACTTGCCGGCACCACTTTGGGGGATGACCTTTTCGCTCAACTTTTCAACAGAAACCTAGATGGAAGCTTTTGCAACGGGGGAGTCAGCCCACAACTGTGTTCTTACTGCATTATAGTCGTTGCTCGGCCCTTAGAGTGTTGTGGTTTTTTTTTGGGAGGCGACCACCGTTTGCCAGACCATAGTGGGGGATTTTGCCTGTCGCAGGAACTTAGGACTTAGCCCTAGGGGGCGCGGCGATGAGGCCGGGACGCGGGCTAAAGTTCAGGGTTAGGGGGGGTTCCTGCCAGGCAAACTCCACAGCTCACACACACCTTTGTCTTTGTTTCCCGACCTCTGACCCCACAAGCCTTCTCTACCACCACCGCGTGGGGGAGAGGGGGGCCTAAGGCCCGGGTCCGCCTGGCGGACTCAACCCTCGAAGCCGAAGCCGAAGCATTTCTTTGCAGATTGCTTCAGCATCCGTCTGTTCGAAGCCGCCCAGGTGCATGTACTTGCAGTCCTGTACGCCCACCCTGGTCCAGGTAGTTTGAGATTTCATTACCCTCCAAGGATAAAGCCCGCCAAAAAAGATGCGCTTTGTGGACCGAGCTTACGAAGCGACAAGTGCCAGCACAGGGGCACGCATGCCTGCTCACATTCAGCCTCGGGCCGATGTCTTCACAAGTGTTCTGTGTCGAGAAAAGCCAATCTTTCTGGGACTGTGCGCGCAGAAGGGCTGCGGTAGGCGTTGCTCCACGGAAGGGTGTGGAAGCAACAACTACGTATGCTTCTGTAGTATATGAAAGGAGCTAGCGTAGTGCATCAAGCGGGGTTTCTCCGTTTCCCCTGTTGGTCAAGGGTTTGCTTGCAAACCCGTCTGCACAAGGGCTCGCGGAAGGCACGATATGCAGTGACTCAGAATCGTGGAAACACGCGTCGAGGCGCGGAAGGCTGCGAAAGCAGTGGCGGAAGGGTTGTTCAAAAGGGAGGGATTGAAGCAGCAAAACAACATAGCTCAAGTAAGTGGCTTTGTGAAAGTGCTTGTCACCACAGGTAAGCACTGGAGCAATTGTGGAGGAGATCGCCAGAGTTGGAGATCGGCTTTGCTACAGGTCTGCATTCTGCTTTGCGTTGGGCGAAGATCTAGGTGCAAAACGTGCATCAGCCATTACATTGGGAGGCTAGAAGAGGGCACTGGACCAGCAAAAGGCTGGGCGGGAAGCTCAGCCACTCCAGTGTCTGCGAGAGCCCGTGAGAGTATCGTGCCGGACGTTTGCGCGTGGATAAGTGCTGGATACAACAGCGAGCGGCCACACACGGGCGAAGCAGGTACTTATAGGTCAAGAAACTGAGGAATGCAAAGGCAATGCTAGATGCATGCCGGCAGAATTCGTTTTACCGAGGTGAGCATCCGAGTTTCTGGCAAAGAACTTGCTGAAAAGATTTCTTGATCTGCACTTCGCCACATGGCTCGCTCAAGAAGCGCGTGTGTGCATAAGATCAACTTTTCCAAACGGTTTCACTTTGCACAGATGCCATAAAGCACGGTGGCTCGCTAAACATCCCGAAAAGCCAATGATTGCAACATGGTGCAGCAGCGCTTGACTATCACCGGTGGCCCGGCGCAGTCTCTCACGTCACAGCACGTGCATGAAATGTGGGGATTGGTCAGGCGACTTTAAGAACAGCATTGTGCATCGCTGAACCTGCAAATCTCAATCTTGTTGATCTTCGCTTCGCACACGCTTGCAAATCTTGCACTGTGGTAGTGCCCAGTCCCACTCCTGTACAACAGCGCAACCGTCATCATGCTTCAGTTTGCCAGGAGCGCACAACAAAGTGCGTACCAAGTCAGTAGCTGAATCAAGTGCTTCCAAGAAGTTGAGCAATGTGGCTTTGCAAACTTGCAAATGATTTTGCTCAGCAGTCATAGGGCAGTGCAGCAAGCAGGTCTTTGCATAGCAAACATAGTCGGCCACGGCATCTTCCTGACATGCCGGGAGCTTTCCGACCTTGCAAGCTTGTGCCTGCTGGCATCACCAGCAGCAGCTGCATTTTTCAACAACTTTCGAAGAGGCTCAGACAAAGAAGCGCAGAAGAAGGCCGATATCGGCTGGTTCCGTCCTGTACCCGCTTTCGACGAGGTCCACAAGCATGTTGGCGCCTTTGGTGACGTGTCTGTCTGAAAACCACCTTGCGTGGTGTTGGAGCCTTTGGCGGACGCGGTCTGCATCCTGACAGTGGCTGGTGCAGCGTTGTGCCGGCAAATGTGGCCGGCATTTTGAGGGACCAGGCAATTAACTACATTGCTCAGGAGATCTTGAGACTTCGGAGCGCTCGCTGAACGTGCCGCTGGATTCGGATGCCTTGCATATTGATCAAGCCATCCGTGGCATCATGTGGCATCTCCACAATCTCTGCGGACTCGAGAAACGGTTTCCCGACAACGCAGCCCTCGTGATGTCGAGGCGTGCAGTACAGAGGGCGATGCACCGACAACGGGGGCCGGCACTGATCGATCAGGCGACGAGGGGAGCAATTCGACTATGCAGGCGTTTGTGTTGAGCGGTGCAAATTGATGACATATGAAGTTTCGATGCAGTACGATCAGCAGCGGCAGGGCGGGGTCATAGCTGCATCACGACTGGGAGGAGTTTTTCTGATTTTCGTACCGCTAGTTGCATGGGCAAGTGCGGATCTCAATCTGAAGATGTTTGCTGATCGTGTTTGTCCTGTCTACGAAAAGCGAAGGGACTTGATTGCAGAAAGCCTCCTTGGGCAGGTCTTGCGCCACTGGCAACTCTTCATCGCCACAAGCTCCGGAAGTAGCTGTCGGCCTCTTGGACTCAGCCGTTGTAGCAGAGCTGTTGTGGTAGACTTTTCAAAGCAGCGAGAAGTGAGCCCCACAGCCAAAGCTTCAGTTGTTGGCTACATATTGATGAAGTTCTCAACAGATGCTTTTCCTGCCGCAGCAGTTTGGGCTGGAATCGCAAGATAATGCTGAGACCCGCTTGTCATTTTTATCTGTTGAAGGGTCAGGGAACTGGGAGAACAAGGCTAGAAGGTTTGACGGCTTGACCACATGAAAGAGTGAATATGAAGTAGACCTGACCTGATTCCTGTACTTCGCCGTACAAGGCCTCGATGGCGACAAAAGCAGTCGAGTTCCATGACGAATGTGACGACGGCACAGAGCATCCCCAGCGAAAAGCCTTCCGAGTAAGACACTCAACTATGAAGCGGCTGAGGTCAAAAACAGCTTCTTTTGCTGATGTTCAAAACTCTCCAACCTGGTTGCGGCTAGATGCCATACACGACGAACATGTCCGTAAAGTCGTTGCGGGGTCCTACTGGATTCTCTCAGACGAGTCCAGCCAGATATTCGGGATATTGATCTTGCTGCAATCCATCTCCTTTGGCGTGGAACTTGGTCTTGAGGGAGAAAACAACGGGACCGGATTGCTGGAGAGACTTGGTCCAGTACTGTACCTGCTTGCTTTCGTGGAGCTCATCTTTCTTATTGTGTTTTCGATTGAATATTCCCTCCGCAGCCAGGCATTGGGAAGGAATTACTGCTTCGCAGCTTCAGGAGTGTTTGATGCGGTTGTGCTAGTCGCGACACTCGCGCACACCGTTGTTTATTTCCTGGAAGCAAGTTCCGCAAATACATCGAACTCGTCTTTACAAACGGCTCGGACGTTCAGACTCCTGCGCATCATCCGACTACTGCAGACCTTTCCTGCACTTGCAATGTTAGTGAAAGGACTATTTAGCACATTCATCGCCATCCTCGATGTTATGATATTGCTGACAGCGCTGTGCTATGCAGGTGCTCTTTTCTGCTGTGAGCTGTTAGGCTCTCCTCAGGATGGCAACAGCAACAACGGCCTTTTCAGCGGCGTCTTCCAAGGGTTCTTGACGCATATTCAATTAGTCTTGATCGAAGCCTGGCCCGACATTGCAGCAGAAATGATGCTTCAATCTCACATCTGGGGAGTATACGTCGTTGGGTTCTTGCTGGTGAGCAACTTCGCAGTGCTGAACGTCGTGACTGGCGTTATATGTGAGCGAGTTCTACTTATAGCCTCCAACCAGCCCCCGGCTTCCTTGGAGGATGCGCTGGAGAATTTCGTGCAGCTACGAGAGCGCATCTCCATGCTGTGCTCTGATGTTACGAGGAAAACCCCAGACATTTCGAAGGAGGAGCTGCTGGAGCTGCTGCAGTCTGCTCAGGCCCTCGAAATTCTGAAGGCCATGAAAATTGCCCTCCCACAGACAGCAGAGGACGTGACCAACATTCTCGACAAGGATCATGCCGGCGCTATTAACTGTGATGAGCTGCAGGAGGGACTCATGCGTTTGCGCGGTAGTAGCTATGATCGGCTGTCCTTGAACAGCCATTGCAGCGTTTACAAGACCTTCTGGTCCTCCAGCGAGGCTTTGCAAAACGCTGCAGGAAGACAGAGACGTCTCATGCGTGAAACCCGACGAGCTATGACCGAGCGCATGGCTGAGACGCTGCCTTGGCCGAGGCCCACTCAAGGTTCCCAAGAGCATTCAGAAAAGGCAGACCTGACAGCCATCACAACCGCCATGCACGAGCTGCGCACATCTCTTGAGGAGTTGCAGAAGCAGTGCTCGCTTCATTCCCAGCAGGGTCAGGAGTTCACCAGCAATCCGTCGATTGCCACGCAGACTGAGTCGCACACGACTCCATCCGAGTCTGCCTCTCACAGTGTATCTCCTATTGATCCGGTGAGTAGGACTTCTGGGACTTCTGGTTTGCACTATTTGAAGAGGCCGCTGCCCCCGGTTCCATCGCCAAGTATCCCACTGAAAGGGAGCGACCGACAAGCTTGTGTTTCACCGCGCAGTTTCAAAATGTGGTGTTGGGCTGTCCGAGCTCTACTTATGACCATTCTGTCTCCGACCGACTTGAGGAATGGGCGGCATGCATTCTGCCGGTCAATTTCGTGAACACGACGCGCCTTGCAAGCAACTACTGTACTGGCACAAGGCAGCCAGGGTGACGGCTTGTACACAGGGTGCTTTCAGGAGCCGGTCGGACCCGGTCGGTTTGTTCTGCACATGCTGTCAGGGAAAGTCGGCTGCAAGTTCACCGCCATGCCTCCGTGCAGAGGTTTCCCAGCCGGAACTTCGGCCAGTCTAGCTTTCCAGCATGCTGAAGAGCCCATTCCCAGGTGATGTGTAAGACTTCAACAGAAACAAAGCTAGCAACGCATCAATGCCTCTCTTCAGTGACATTTCAACGGAATCCTTCCCACTGCAATCTGCACGGGCTCAGCTTGCCAGCGGAGCCTGATGAAGCTTTGATGGGACATGCTAGTGGAATTGCGCCGGGGAAGCACGTAAACCAAAGTTCTTTAAGAAGAGCCGGTTTCCTCCCTTCAGAGGGTGCAGTCCTGCCAGGTGGGCTCGTCCGTGCACAGCTCCGACATAGCTTTCGCTGCGCTCCATTGCACAAATCGTACAACTCTCGTTTTACACGCATCTAGCTGCCATGTTTACCTGCAGCTTGGTGCTCCTTTGTAAGCATGGATGGACGCATGGGAATGATCTGGTATAGTGGACAATATCCCGCGACCTGCTTGGAAGAGTGCCATAAAGCTGCAATGCATGGTCGAAGCAAACGCTTTGCTAAAGCAAGTCAAAACGGGATGACAGGGTTACTATGTGACCAGATTTGAGAACGCTCCTGAAAAGTAATGCCATCGTGTTCTGTTTGTGCAGCTTGGTTCAAACGCAGCTCGTCTGAGAAGTAGCCTTGTCTCTATGAATACCTTCCTGCGACCAGGGTCCGGATGATAAACTTTTGCTGTCTTGCCCTTCTGGGCCTGATTGGCCGCCCTCTTGCTTTGCGGTCTGAGCCGACCGGGCTCGACCATGCGGATCGGTCGGCATTCCAGTTCTCTATAGTCAACAACGCTTCGGTGCCTTTGAACTTCCTTGCTCTGCCCAAACTGGCAAACGTCTACGCACACACGCAGAACAGAGTCCAGCCTGGTGGGAAGTTTTCTTTTCTAGCTGCTCTAGGCGCATACGACATCCATGTGATTATACACGACGGTCAGAATGGTTGGTATCAGGCAACCGAAACAAGTTGGGGTCTGAGCAAGGAAGGGCTGGCCTTCACAGTCTCCGCGATTGCACATGGAGCAGGACTTGGAAGCCTGGCGGTCGGTGCTGCGGCCCTTGCAACAGCAGGTCTTACTGCTGTAGCTGCTGGACCACTCCTGATAACACTAGGGGCCCAAGCGGCATTTTGGGGTGTCACGGCATTTTCGTCGATGGCTTGTTCATATCTGGCTGACCAATCTGTGGAGTATCTGCGGCAGCAGCTTGCTGATGTGGAGCACAAGACCACCAATGTCACTAACGCACACGACCTCATGCGCCACGGGAGTGGAATGCAGCTGCTCGATTTGTCGCAGAACTTCACAGCACGGGAAGATTCAGCAGTCTTTGAGGATGGTGTAAAGTATCTGTGTTGCTGCAGAAAGTCCACAAATCTTGCGGAGGCGAACTGTGAGCTTTTTCGTGCAGATGGTCCGAGCAAGACCTGGTTTTCTTCTGGCTGTCCCAACCTTGCAGGAGATGGGTATATGCCTTGGTGGAAGTCCGCTGGTGGCCGTTGTCTCGTTACAAGGAGTCCTTTTTCGCCATCCGCCAAGGGACCAGATCGTTTAGTGCCTTTCAGGACGGTTGTTAGAGAAGGTACTGTGCGCGATGCCTTTTCAGTGTCCTTTCCCGATCTGAATGTGGAGTACGTATTGATGACAATGGCCACAGCCGAGCGGTATCTTGCCTCCATGCAGTCCAGGTTTTCTCAATGGAAGGCCATACGGGGAGCAGAGCGCAGATTCGTCATAGCCGGCGGGTTTATGAATCCCAGCAAGATGCCTCGGGCGACGCAGGATGAGCCCTGGACAGTTGTCGAGTTCATGCCGCTGCAAATGGGAGAGATCACACCAGCCTATGGCTGCAGAGTGCCAGGTGATGATGGCTTCTGGCAAGCCCAGGCAACGAAATGTCGGAACCAGTGTAAGGACCCAGAATGCATAGAAACCTGCATCCAACCGTTTAAGCAGGCCCTGGACCAAGAGGTCAGCACCAGACAAACTTTCAGGGCACTAGACATTCCAGCTGGCAGCAAGGCATTTGTGGTGGAGAACAAATCCATCATTGAGGAAGCTTCCACGAAAGCACTAGTGCCTGTTGCAGAGAACTTGGATGAAGTTCTGGGGAAGACGGGGAGCGTCTTGAAAGTTGACTTGCAGCTCCTGACTGCCACAGTTCTGGTGAACAGCACGACCTTGACTTTACCAATGGAAGCTCTGCTACTTGCAGAGAATCAGAAGCAGCCTGAGCATCCTATGCTTTCCGCTTGGCATCGCGCCCAGCTTGCGGCACCACGGTTTGGCCAGTGCTGGAGCAGCTGCTCTGATCGCTCTTGGACGTCGACAGCGCTTTCAGGTTTCAAACAGGCGGTGACCCTGGGAGGCTCAGACCTGTGGTGTTTCACAGCCAAAAGGCGTGCATCAGGCTTGCATCAGGCTTGGCAGGGGTCTTTATGCATGGAGGATGATGAGTGCCCACACCTTGCGACCCAAGCTGCACAAGATGCCGCAACAAATGAAGCGACGTGCGTGGATACATGCATATGACCAGCTTCGCATGGCTGCGAAATGCAGAAAACAGGGTGGAGCATGCTCAGGTTCTCAGTCGCTCCACTAGGCTTGGCTGTCGCCAGGCCTCGGCGCATTCATCACGAAAGCTAGCTTTGTTGAGCTTACGGGAGTTGTCCTTTAGCAATTCCCCTTGTATTAAAGCACTAGGGAAAAAACAGGGTTTGCACCTTATCAGGTGGGACGTCTGGGGGGTGGGGGGGGAGGGGGTGCCGGCCCCCCCCCCCTCACCTCAGTATCTTCGAAGCATAAGGTGCGGCGCGCCACCCCCCTCCCTCCCCTCCCTCCTTGAAGGTTGCGGCGCGTGGGATAAGGTAGAGGGGGGGGGGGGGCCTCCCCCGTACCCTCAAGTCTCTCCCCCCCCCTCGCAAGGTCCCTCAGTTTGCTTCTGTTTGAAGTCTGTTCATGTCAAACGTCCCCCGCGTGCAAGTCATTCGCATCGCCTCACTAGTCACCCCGTGTTCCCAGCTATGCTTCCTTTCCCCTAGCTTTCGTCGCCCTCTTCTCAAGTGTCGCCCCGTCTCATTTGTTCCCGAGGCCTGAGAAGCTGAGTGTTCGATACTCGATACTGTTTCATTGCATGGCTTCAAGAGATGGTCGCGCAACATCGAGCATCACACTGCAATTGCCCAACTGCGTAGCTGGCCAGCAGAGGGCATCGCACGACAGCTGATGAAAGTCGTCTGATGCATGTCTTTCTGCGAGTGAATGTATACATGCCTGCACAGCGACAGCGGCGCTTAAGAACTAGTTGTTTGCGGGTGAGAGCACCCTCCATTCCTCAATTTTGAGGCGGATGTGTTGATATCAAAAAATTCCGGACTTGAGGGCATGTACACTGATTGCTTAACCAAATGTCTTATGCTGGGTGTCCTTCCATGGGCCTTAGCTGAAGTGCTCGTACAACATCCAGCCCCTTAGTGTCCTGATTCGCTGTTTTTTCGAGCGGTGTGCCTTCCATTTCTCATGTTCAATGTCCGAGGGTCTCACGTCCTTGGGCGAATGATGTCTTAAGCAGTCCTGTCGCTGTATGTATATACATGTACGTCTGTCCATACGTCTACACACATAGTGAATATATATATATATATATATATATAGATATATATATATATATATACATACATGCATATTGTATGTTTGGGCATACGTACATACATACATACCGCGCACATGTGTTTGTGTCTTGTGCCTTTGCGTTGAGCTTTCGCCGCTCGTCTCCTAAAGTTCAAGATGCTGCAGTCACTCGAGGCCTCGCATGGGTGCCTCAGCGTTTTTTCAGGGCTGGGACGGTGGTCGTTTGGCGACGCAGCGACGACTGCATATGTGCTGCGGTGATCTTGGAATATATGGGCCTTCAAGTCGAGCAGGAAACGCAGCAAAGGCTGATCCCCACCAGCACTAGTCACTAGCCACAGTCCATTCGTGGGTAGCGCAACGAGTAATTACGCATCATCGAACAAGTATGTTCTGCTACACTTACCCAGTGCTATTATCATTATTATCCCTCTAGCAAGACTTTGGGCTGGCTTGTTGCCAATCCTTCAAGTCACAATATCGCCTCGGTTGACACACCGGGACTAATTCCTTGAGATTTGGCCCAATCCAGCTTGGGCGCCTGGGGCTTTTTGCCATAGAGCACAGAGCTCAAGAAGGCGGCAGCATCGTGCGAAACAGCTGTGCAGTCTGCAGTAGTTGCACCCACCTGACAGGGGCTGCTGAAACATGGGCGAAGTAGAAGAAGAAGGAGAACCAAAGTACCAGCCTTCCTGCCATGTGTTTTGCATCACATGCCGCCATCATCATTCCACTGCTGAGTTGTTTAGCTATGCCTCGCTGACACATGGCGGGCTGTTGCCAGCCCTGCGTATCTGACCCTCACTCAGCAGCTCATGGATACTACAGGAGCCCTCTGATCCAACGAGTGATTCCACAAGCGGGCTTTCTTACATCGATGTCAGGCTCTTCGTGAAGGGCGCCGAGAAGCCCCGAGAGGACCTCACGCACTGCATTTCTCAAGCCTTTCCAACCCCACCCCGTTCATGCATTGGATCGTTCCGTGTGTCGAACACCATGAGACCGGCTTCAAGATGCAGCGAGATCTGCTCGCGGTAGAGAGATCAAGCGGGTCCTGAACCTGAGTTATGTGAGGAAGGATCGCAGAAGTTCACCGGTCAAGGCTTGGTATTTAGATTGAGCGTGGCAGCATGGCACTTGCAGACCGTCCTGAGTTTCGCGCTTGTGGTTTTCTTGCTAAAACTGAGTCCAGGAGAAGTCGCTACGGTAGTGGATGACAGTCCTTCTCTTCCATTTGCGATTGAACCATTGAAACTGGTGTTCAAGCTCCGTTCTGCTTTACTTCGTGAAGGCAAGGCTCTCTACCTGACTGGCGACAGCTACGAGGGCACTTTCGTGGAAGGTCTTCGTACAGGAGCCAGCTGTTGCAATTTTGTGTGATTCTGTCACAGGGTGCTCGTTCCAAACCTGAGGTGGGCAAATTTGCAAAGTGCATTTGCATCCTGGATCCTATCTGCCTGGGTGAGCAGCTTTCATGTTTGCGTCGCAGATGTGGCAGGAAAGGGATTGTACGTCTTCAAGAAGACCGGCGACAGCTACGAAGGCCCGCTTAGCAGACCACTTCTTGGGCTTCGGACGGGCGGACAGGACGCCGATAGACTGTTGTAAGTCAGTGCAGTAGCCACTTCACCGTGGAAGCTTCAGCCAGAGATCATCAGACCTCTCTCTCTGTCTCTCTCCATGCGAGCAAGTTGCTTTCGAGCACCGACCCGTGACAAGCGGCTCTGGGACGCAGGCAAGTATGAGGAGAACAGGAAGCACGGGTTCGGAAAGATGACGTACAGGCACGCCGTGCATCACTCTGCTGTTGCGGCTGTGTGGTACTGCTTTGCCTCCAGCGTCAAGGCTAGACATCGGGATATGTAGAGTTTCGTCTGTGTTTGGGCCTTCAGGCTGCAAGTTTGGTTGCTGTTGATTCATGACTGTTGTTCCTGCCACTCGTAGATATGACAAGAATAGCGGCGATTTGTATTCTGCGACTCACCCATCATGATAACTTCCTGCCGTACATGTTGTCAACCTCGACGATGTTAAGTTTCTTCTTTCTGTTGCAGGAACAATGTCGGCGAGGACTTGCGGCTTCAAACTATCGTTTTAGTTTTGGAACCGGTAGCTGAAGAACCAGAGTGCAGGTTTCGTGGGTGTAGCATGCAGTCTACAGCATAATTCGGGGACTGCAGACAACTTCAATGAATTGAGGAGGAGGATGCCGATCCGCCAGACGAGAACGCCCCACCTAGGGGAGGCATGCTGGACTGAAATGCCCCCTATGGTCATATAGACGTGGACATGTGCTCGGGGATCCTTGCAGAGTCAGGGTATGTCACGATGCTCCCTGGTTTGTACAGTCTCGCCCTTGCTTCGCCAAGTGGCTTGATTCAGGGGGCAGCACAGGACGTCGCGATTGCGTACAGGTTTTGGTTGCTAGGAGACTAGTGCCTCCACTGGCGCAAAGACAGGAGTTTGAAGCAACCATGGACCAGGCACCTATTTGGGCAACTTCACTGCCGGCCTCCGCGGGCGCTTGGCCAGTGCCGGCCCCGAGGCTCCCAGACGTCGCAGATGTGCCGGGATTGGTCCTAGCGGGTTTTCATCTCTTATGTTACGGCCGGTTTGCAGCGCCAGTGTGGCGTATGTCACCGTTTCCTGTGGGACTAGCACGAGGAGCTAGAAAAAGCTGCAGGTGCAGCACAAACAAGGCATGTGCTGGCTCCACACGTGTCTTGATCTCACCTCGAACAGGCGCCAGCAGACGGCACCTTCACCTACGTCAACGGAGATGCAACTGGAGCGGAGTTCAGCATTTTTTATGATTTCAATCCTGACACTGACCTGATGAAACCCGTGACCGGTCGTAGCCCTTCTTGAAACAAGCCGCGAGCTGAAGCTCCCTCTGGGAGACCGAAGCTCGGAGGGAGAATGGACCGATGGATCGAGCGAAAGCTATCGGAGCTCTCGATTGTCTTGGTTGTGTCCAGCAGAAGATCCGCAAAGCATTGCTAGAACGGCGGCTTTGCACTTTCGTCTTTCAGACCTGAACTTGATGCATCAAGCGGGACTGTTGCCTGTGCCGAGGCATATGCGGGTCAGTGGAGAGAGGGCAAGAAGCATGGCAACGGCACGTACACGCCCGCCCCCAAGTTTCGAAACAAATATCTCACACGCGCACTCGCAAACACACCGGCGCTGAGCCAGCATTCACGGGCCTTCATCTCTGCTTACGGTTGTGTCATTTGCCCGGCGGTCCGTGGATCAGGTTTGCCAAGGATGGAACTCAGCTAGTCGGAGAGTGGGAAGATGGCAAGATCGTCAGCGGCAAGTTGCTCGGCTCAGTGCTGTGACATGTCAGCCAGGTCCAGTAGTGGCACGGCATTATTTCGCCCTTCTTTCCGATTTGTTTGTCCATGGCATCACCGAGCTCAAGTCCTGACCTTGCACTGCCTGGGAAGGTGGGTGTTTCCCAACGGCACCTTCTACTGCGGCAAGTTCAGGCTGGCGAGTGTCATTTTGAGGATTTGCCAGCTTGCATCTGTCATTGCCCTGAGGTACAATAAGCCCTACGGAAAGGGAGTATGGGTCTTCAAGAATGGAAACCAGCTTGCTGGCGATTACCTGCAGAAGGCTAGCGATTTGCACAGTGCAGCTGCCAGTCCACCATAGCGATTAGCAGCTTCTTCAGGAATATGCTCGTATGAACGCACACGCAAATCAGACAACATCACCGTTTCGATGCGAGCTATGACTGTCAGTGACCCGCCGTGCTGGCAGTTACCAACCAGACGCCAGAAGCAGCCTCTGTGATGTTTTGCTGATGCGCTTGAATTATCTCCGTTTATATTAAGGCGTACATTCGCGTGTATGTGTGTGTCTACCCGCATACACACGCTGCATAGACATGTGGGCGCACACGTTCGCACTGTGTATTGGTTCACAGATGCACAGACAGACTGATGCACGGGTATGCATCTTTAATTATGTAATAAAGTGCATCACTCAGGCAAATATGTCAATTTTATGGTATATACATGATATCGTATTATAACCTAACGTATCATGTCATAACATATTGCTCACATATCAGGTATACATGTATAAATGCGTCACGTCCATCCACTTGCATAGTTCCTGCGGCCTCGTCAGGAGCAGGCAACCGAAGACGAGCCAGCAGACGAGACAGAGGCAAGTTTGATGCAGCACGACCAGATCTCATATGATAATCTAGTAAACCTAGTACTGTATCAGATCTATGCTATACGCGCTAGTGTGACATAGCGTGCTGTTTGCTGGGTTACTGTACCATGGCGAGTGATACCAGTGCGACCATTACCAGGCCTCATGCTGTATCCTGTTCTGTGTAACAGTTGCAAGCACGGCTTCTACAATCTCGCTATTTCCATCATCGGTCGTCCACCGGTGGCTGCATGATCGCCGGTGATGGGAACTCCATTCTTCTGTTTCGGATGCTCCTTTGAGATGCCCCTGGCCCGTGGTTGTTGAGACTCGTGGAGACTGCGCG